GTATTTAACATATTCAATCTTTGTCAATGAAATTTTAAGGTATGTCCTAGTCCCCTGCCTTTTTATTTATGTTTACTTTGATGGGGTTATCTTCATAAGACTTCTACAAATGGATACCTTGTTTGAAGCAAGAAATCAAGTTGTCTGTGGAAAACTTTTAAACTAATCACGTATATGTCAGGATTCAGTGTCGAATTACGAAACTTCTAGTCTTGACACCTCTCAAAATAAATAAATTCAATAAATATTACTTTAATTAATCAAACAATTTATATTTTCAGTATTTTTACAGACTTTTAAACAACCATAATATAAGGATTATTACAGAATTTTGAAAAGCAAATACATAGTAAAAATAACATAGTAAAAAATTTGAATTGATATCAAGCTATGGTAATAAATAAGTCTCTGACTTTGTAACATTATTTACTCAGGGTATAATAATCTACTATTTTACAGCAGTTCAAAGTCTCTCATTCATTGTTTAACAATGAAATCACCTCCAGCAAATCATAAGACCAAAGATAAGCCCTGAAAAACCAACTTCTGTTGGAGGATACAGTATTAAAGTATATCTCTCTGGTTGGAGACTGTTCAAAATTAGTACCTTACTGAAAACAGCTCAGAGAATTTTTAAGGTAAACATTTCTTACATTTTTAAATGGTGGAATGGAGGTTTGCAAAAGACAATAACAGACTTCCCCCACCCCTCTAAGTTTGTTTAACATTAGGCCTAGGCCCTCTGCAACTGGAAATAAAGATACTGTTGTATTTTAACGATGAAACCATATGAAACTACTAACCAGGAATAGTTTGTTTGTTAAATAAATACTAAATTAATAAAATTATTATTAAACTTTGATTTATCATGAATCTGTTCAGCTCGTTTGATAGGAAGGATAGCTTTCACTTTTTATGTTTCTATACTTTAATGTTCATGACCTGGTGAAATTAATTAAGCATTTTATAATCGATTACACTTGTCCTCTAATCAAAAGGCCGTAGCTCTGACCCTGGACCCCGCTACAAAGCTGTCCTGGGCACCGCAGCCACTCTCGGCAGCCCTGGTATTGGGTGTGGGCTGGTGGGTGAATTGGCAAAAACGAGGTCATAAAAAAACTTTACTTGGATTGATATCAAGCTATGGTAATAAAAAAAAAATCTCTGGCTTAGTAACATTAATTACTAGAGTATAATAATCTACTAAGCACTTTTAACAGCGGTTCAAAGTCTGTCTGCCCATCCATATTTTTGTGAGATTTGTTTTGCTCTGGCTAACACCTACCACATCATTATCATATCTAAAATCATTATTTGTGCCTTCACTACCTGGTATCTATACAAGCTTTTTTGTACAAAAAAACTTTATTACTATATTATTATTTACCTAGTCCAATTGATAATACTGTAATTATTAACAATTATTTTTGAATTCACAGGAATATATTTCAAGATGGATACCAGTAAGTTGAATCAGTTCTTAAAAATGTTGATGAGAAGTATTAGAGTGTACCATCTGCTTTAGAGGCTTCAAAATCCTAAATCCCTCAACTGCCTTTATAGTTTCTGTTTGGCATGACAGCAAGATTGGGTTAAAGAAAAGTGTAAGCTGACTTGCCCAACTTGATCAAAATTATACCCCATTCCAAAGAGAGGGCAATTTGGAAGCTTCCACCAAATACCTTTCTAAATAACTTAGAAACTATCAAACAATTTTCAGAGCGAGAAAAAAAAAAAACAGATGAATTGTAGAGTGTGAAAATGAAAGGACAGAATAAGTATGAGGCATCTCTATTTTTTCTTAATATAGATAACCCTGATGGTGCTTTCAGACAGGTGTTGTCAGTTATTTCAGAATGGTATGACCAGCTTGGCTACATCAATATGCTGAAAGTTTTGTACAGAGATCTCTTGAAAAACAGTTATGAGTTGAATAAGGCTTCCAAGGTGATGGACCTCATGAATTTGTTGATTGCTTCTGGGGATCTACACTCAACAAATTTAAAGCTTCTCTATGATACCATAAACATAACAAAGCAGTATGGCTTGGAAATAATTATCAAAAAAATACTGCCAGAATTTCAAAGTGTTAAAGATGTAGAAATCTCAAAATTTACGCATCACAGACAGAAAGTTATGAAGCTTGGGATGGCACTGATTGATGAAGATTTAAAAAAGATCAGTGGATTTTATAATGAACCAGTAAAGGAATATGCAGACACATGGAGTTTGGTTGTGGATTTGGAGCACAACATGATAATCTGTGAAGGAAAATTGGACGCCTTCATTAAAAATCTAAATACCCTTAAACTCCAAAATGCTGTTAAAGCTTTAACTGAAGGTATTCAATGTAATTGCCATTTTATATAAATTTAATATTGTTAATACCAGCAAGGATCGAATGTCCTAAAGTAAAAAAAGGAATCAACAAAGCAATGCTTCTTAAATCTCTCAATCAGTTAAAAAAACTTAAGTTTGTTAGCAAATCTGATTAGGAATTAATGAAACTTTAATAAGTGTTCCTTATGGGACTTTGCCCTCCCCCTGTATTTGGAGCAATAATGATAAAAATATTATACTATTAAATTCATCATCAAAGGTATGGACAGTAAATTAGGATATTCATTCACTATGAATCTTCTATTCATCGCAGTGTCTATGCTGGTGTAATAATCCGATGGATTGACTGATATTTTTGAATTCATTGATGATCTGATACTCCAGTCCCAAATGGAGACACCATTTTGCCTAACTTTTAAATATGTCATTTTATATTCAGTAAACTTTTTATTTACAGACATCCCAAATGCAACTTCAAACTATGGACATGGTGAAGGTAATGATACATGTGTTCATGTAAAGTATGGTTGTCATGATTATAATAATAATAATAGTTATTCTCCAAGTTCATGTAAGAAAGAACCACATTAACAAATTAAAATTTAACAAAAAGGAAAGCATGGTAAAACACAGTACAAAATAGCTAGGATGTGAAACAGCTGCAGATCTACAAAAAGATTCCAGGTTACATAATATCTGGGTTACAACAGGTCTGCCACCTACAGTACATGAAAATGATACTACAACTCTACTGCTTCATCATTCATTTCCATGGAGTTATATATTTTTACACCCCCACCCCCCCACCAATGATGTGACAACTCTCAATCTGAGTGGATAATTCTGATTTTCATTCAACAGTAGAGTTGATGGCTGACCACATTAAGTAGATTGTATGCTGGATTGTCTAATAATTAATATGATTTATTTTATCTTTATTTTTTAAAGAAATTTCTGTAAAATTAAAGTGCAGAAGAGAATCTGAAGGTCAATCAATGACACAAGCTCTTAGATCTTTAATCAAACTTTATGAACATAGACATACTCTGAGTGTGACGGAAATGAAAGAATTTACAGACATATATGAGAAACTTACCAAATTTTATGAAGATTGTGGGTTAAATCTGAAGAAGATGGAAGGAGGATCAATAGTATTTTATCTATCAGTAATTGATCCTAATGCTTTGATGCACCTATGGGAAATACATTCTAGCGGAAAGCTCATAAAAGGTTTGGCACACATATTAGTCCCAAAGGAACATCAGGAAGAGTTCTTAAATGAATGGATGACATACATCGATGAAAATGAATACAAAATTATACTGAGTAGGCTGAAGGAAAAAGGTGAGAAAATATGGAAATGAATTTATGGCAATTGGATAAAATGTTTAAAATATGTTTATATTAGAATGAAAGGCTTCTTGCTAAAGTATATTAGTTCAAAGAAAAGGTTATGATTACTATGCAAGCTCGCCCACTTATGCTGTCATCGGGAAATTTCCCTGTCCCAGCGGCAAATCCTGGCGCCACCACTGTCATCTAGCGCCCACATACATTTTCTGTTTGCTTAAAATCTAACATTTGCAACAGAAACCTTCTCAATGAAACACTTAGATAGTATTTCTTAGGTCAACAAGATCGTTGGACCACCATGTCATTCTAGAGCATTTTCTCATACAATTGTCTGACAATAATCAAACCATATCTTGCAACATTGGGTGGGTTAGGGTATACGACTATATACTACCATAGGCGAAACGATAACAATGGAAAGGGTTAGAAATAATACCTTAAGGCGAAAATACTGCTGCTAAGGGGAAATTTTAACGACGATAAGGAGAAATATAGACAAAGTATACACATCTTACAGAGATCTCTTGAAAAACAGTTATGAGGTCCATCAC